AACTGTTCTTTAATTTACATAGCATATAAAAGGTGCTAAGGATTTAGAATTATACATAAAAACTTGCGCAGTTCCAGATCACAGGAGAGGGTTTTGCAAGAATGCTAAATATTTCAACATGTGCTGACTAAACAGCTGGGCCTTTCTTGACTATTATTTGGGAGTGCGGGGAGGGAGTCAAGATATTTTCACGAACACAGCCTCCTGTTTTCTCCATGAATACGTGTCTTTACCTGCATAGAAAGGTATGCAGAAATCCACATTTAAAGTGATCTCAGATGATTAACTCATTGAGGTTCATGAGCAGGTGACAGTCATTTGATAGTCAGAGTTATTCACAAAACCTGGAATTCTAGAAAATATTGATAAAGGAAATTGTAAATAGTGACCATTTTAGAGTAAGCTGCTTTGTCCTAAAGTTTGCAATTCCCCTGACGGTTGTCCTCAATTTCCTGTTTAGGGAATAACTACGCGTTGTGTGAACCCCCAAAGGCAGCAAGGTAATCAAAAGTCTGTTAGAACCCAGAGAATAGATTGTAAAACAGTAATGGTAATTTCTACTCCAAATAGCTAACAAAGTAATGTACCACTTAGCAAAATAATAAAATAATGGATTTTAAAGCAATCTTTTAAAGGGACAGCAAAAAAAAAAAATATAATTATTATTGCTTTATTTAATGATCACGTCAAAATATGTATCTTAAATTTCTTTATGCAATATTAAGGTTAAACTGTACTGAAAATAGACTACTGCTTGCGACAAGTTTAAAAAAAAAAATATTATTGTATATTTATTTAATGTGCATACTTTGCCGAGCAACATTGGGAAAATGTACTTTGTAAAGTGCTGCAGTGCCGTACACATAGGTTGTGTGCACTTAACGCACTTCCGGAGAAATTGCTGAGCATATGCGCAATATTATGGAATTTCTCAGTAGTTGCGTGAGCATGTATGAGTGTAGGCAAGGGGTCATGGTTTACAGTCTCCCACAATGCAGAAGTGCAGTAGAGGTTAAGTTTATTTTTACTTACTTACTTCCATTGCTTTATTCAGCCCCATAAATGTTACATGTGCGTTTGCTTGTGAAAAAACAAGAAATTGTCACTTTTCTGGAAGTGCCGTTTCCTCTTTAACCCCTTAGGGACACATGACATGTGTGACATGTCATGATTCCCTTTTATTCCAGAAGTTTGGTCCTTAAGGGGTTAAACATTAATCATAGCATTTCCCTGCAAGTAGAACATTTATGATCCACATTTAAAGCCTGTGAACTTGCTTCCTGGGTAACAATAATCTGATTTAATTTTCTTCTACTGCCGAGAAGGAAATACTGGGATCTTAGATTGGGATAACAAAAGGCAAAAATAAGCAAAAAAAACATTAGTTTGTCAAAATCCTACATTATAAAGTTCAATATATGTGATAAACCTCTGTGGTAATGTGCACAGATTGAGAGCAGCCATTTTAAAGCAGACTGGTCATCCACAAAATGGTACCAGCTTCATTTAGGTGTTATGACATAATCTATCTATAGTCCTGGCAAAATCATTGCTAAATATTAAATGTTCTATTTTTTTCATAAGAATCTAAATTACATATATCAATAAAGCTTAATGATCCATTCCTTAACTGCAAAACTGGTTAAGTGACATTCTAAGATAATATATTATTTAGAAAACTATTTGTGCTTCT